GGCGTCCACTGATTAACCAGGCAAACTTGAGTGAAATGGTCACGCCAAGTAGTCCAGTCCGAGGCTGCTCCACCATCAAAACGTTCCGGAGTTGCCCATGGCCGGATGGGTCGAACGGGAGCTGGCTGGGCGGGCTGAACTGGCTGGGCGGGCTGAACTGGCTGGGCGGGCTGAACTGGCTGGGCTGGCTGCACTGGCTGGGCGGGCTGAACTGGCTGTGCTGGCTGGGCTGGCTGAACTGGCTGGGCTGGCTGAGCTGGCTGAACTGGCTGGGCTGGCTGGGCTGGCTGAGCAGGCTGGGCAGGACGGGGCGGCTGGGCCGGCGGTACTTGCTGGTTAGGCTGTGCTTGGGCCATTCCGAACCAGGAATCACTTCACATTGTCACAACAACAAAAACATAGCATGAAAAAAAAACCCGAAACATCCACCGCTGCCACCAGTTGTAGCGTGGCCCAAGTGGTTGGGCACACAACAACCAACAAGTCTCACCAGAGCAAGGAGAAGTGGTTGAAGAAATGAAGGATGATCTTTCTTCAGAGACAGAGCTTTTTATATGTGCCAAGACTAAGAGAGTTCAGGTTTCACATAACAACGAGCAACGGTTTAGACCAATCAGGAGATAGAGAGATGGCACAGATTCGGCCAATCAGAAGACATGTATTGGAAGAAAGTAAAGAAAAAAAGGAAAGCTTCTGAAAAAGGTAGGTTCGAACTTCACATGCAAAGGATACTAGTTTTATTACTGTACAGGTTTTAACACACCAAGCTACAGTGATACAGGCACTAGACTACAATGCAACAGGTACAAGGTTGAAGAATCTGCATGCTCTACAGTCGCACCAACCTCTTCATGACAAACTTATACTATGGAAAAGATCAGCGCACATTGCGGTTGGTGGCGAAAGTATGAAATTGGCATTCAGACAAAGACAAAAAAGCGGCGTCAAGTTCGTAAAAGTGTGTACGCTGGTGGGTCAGAAGACGGTGCAGCAGCATGTACAAAGGGGTGACAAAAACACAGCAAAAACGCAGCAGCAGGCCACAACAGAGTGACACAAACGCAGCAGCATGTACAACATACCTATTTGACATTTGTATACAGCATATTATTTCCTAGTGTGCAGGTCAAATGCAGTCTTTGTTATGGTAATACAGTGTATGTACAGTCTGTGTGGATATGGGTATACGTGTAGCTCATGACATTCCATGCTCTGATCAATTGACACCAGTTGTTCAACACCAGCAACCATGTAGCCCAACTCAACCTCTTGTGCTCAGCTGTGCCTTGCTATGCTTGTGCCACACCACGTGCACACACACGGTGACACTGCATGCACACACACACACACACCACGTGCACACACACACCACATGCACCTTTTTTGCCCTTTTGAGTTTTGACGCCCATCACCGAGGCGATGATAGCGATGTTACAACATAAGCCACAGCAACTTGTGCTGGGATTGCACCATTGAACAGCTTACAAGGCTGAAGAATTGACCGCCACTATTCTGAGCCTTGTCTACACCACACAGCTATTTGAAGAGGCCATTTCTGGCCAGTGAATCCCTCAGTGACTTTTTCGTTTTCGATTCTTCCAGCACACATCACACCACATATTCCACCATGTACTGACTGTTGGGACTGACCACCCAGGATTTTTCATACCACGTGCACACACACACACACACCAGACACACACACCAGACACACACACCTCAGACCTCAGACCTGCCCATCGGGGAAGCGATGATAGCGAACAGCTATGTTAGACATAGCAACTTGTGCTGGGATCACCATTCAACAGCTTGCAAGGCTGATGAATTGACCACCACTATTTTTAGCCTGGTATCCACCACACAGCTGTTTGAAGTGACTTTTTCTGGCCAGTGAATCCCTATTTTTCATTTTTCCATTTTCCATTTTTTTCTACACACACACCACACCACATACTCCGGCATACACTGGCTGTTGGTAACCACCCAGGAGGAAAAAAAGACAGGAAGAGTCCAAAAAAAGAGAAGAAAGACGTGTGCGACCATAATCGTCGGGAATTGAACCCGCAACCTCTCGATTGGAAGTCGACTGCACGTACCACTGCACCACACGTGCACACACACACACACACATACACACACACATACCAGACACACACCAGACGCACACACACACACACACACACACACACACACACACACACACACACACACCACCACCACCACCACCACCATCACCACCACCACCACCACCACCATGTACCACACACACACACACACCAGACACACACACACACACACACACACACACTCACACACACATACACACACACACACACACACACACACCTCAGACCTCAGACCTGCCCATCGCGGAAGCGATGATAGCGAACAGCTTTATTAGAAATAGCAACTTATGCTGGAATTACACCATTCAACAGCTTTCAAGGCTGATGAATTGACCGCCACTAATTTTAGCCTGGTATCCACCACACAGCTGATTGAAGTGGTGTATTCTAGCCAGTTAATCCCTATTTTTCATTTTTCTATTTTTTCATTTTTTTGGACACACACGCCATACCACATCCCCCACATACACTGGCTGTTGGTAGCCACCCAGGATTATGAAAGAAGAGCTAGGAGAATGAGAAAGAAAAGGCGACGAGGAGACAATAACTTTATCAATGCGATTAATAGTATTAGTGAAGCGGACATTACAAAATGATGAATGAGAATACATGTATCTAAAATGGTTGTTCCTAATCGATTTTCTTGAGACTATCATCAGGGAAAATCGTCTCACAATAGAGGCTATACGGAGAAACAAACTACTTATAGGTTATTGGATAGTGGGAAGTATACAAGGTGAGGTGTGAAAAAACTAAAGTGGGAGAGAAGACGAAAGAAATTAGAAGAAAAGATGTGAGAGTGTTCCCGACGGTGTGAGCTACTACATAAGGTAATTTAAGGTATTAGAAGCTGTTTTCATCCGTAAACACAATCCTAATCTATGCATTCAGAAAGAAAATGTCACAAAACTGAGACTCTTCACCTAGCATTCACACACGTATTCATTCGCATACACCTACACCTCACAGTTCCTCACTCTATCACATTCACCTGCTTCCACGCCTTCATTTCACTCACCTTATGTAGTAGCTCACACCGTCGGCAAGAGTACATAACCCCCCAGAGTGTGCAACTCCACTATGGGTGCTGTCCCGACAGAATTTCAAGTTGACGTCATTTTGATGATGCAATGCGCTCTGTACACGGATTATCAGACGAATCCGGAACCTGTGGTTGACCGAAGCCGATCGATCCTGTACAAATTATTGCAAAGAAAAACGTGTGATGCGTTGACACCCGTACACATGTTGTAAATCACTGGTGCAAGGAGCATTGCGTCATAAATAATGACGTCAACTTGAAATTCTGTCGGGACAGCAGGGTATGTGGGAGTTGCACACTCTTGGGGGGTTATGTACTCTTGCCGTCGGGAACACTCTCACATCTTTTCTTCTAATTTCTTTCGTCTTCTCTCCCACTTTAGTTTTTTCACACCTCACCTTGTATACTTCCCACTATCCAATAACCTATAAGTAGTTTGTTTCTCCGTATAGCCTCTATTGTGAGACGATTTTCCCTGATGATAGTCTCAAGAAAATCGATTAGGAACAACCATTTTAGATACATGTATTCTCATTCATCATTTTGTAATGTCCGCTTCACTAATACTATTAATCGCATTGATAAAGAATGAGAAAGAGAAGAAAGACGTGTGCAACCATAATCGTCGGGAGTTGACCCCGCAACCTCTGGATTGGAAATCGACTGCACAGTCCACTGTACCATATGGGACACAAAGGGACACACACAAATACACACACGCACACACACACATGCGTGTATACATAAAGTCTGATGCAAACGCCCACGCCGCAGCAAACGCTCGCCCCAGCGGGTCCATACTATTCTTTTTCAGGTCAGTTTAGTTGTAGAAAACTGGCATGAAGGTCGAATGCGTACAAGAACGACTGTAATGCCTACACAGTGCCTATGTCTTCCCAGGATCCTGTGCAAAAGCGATTGTCATTATCTTGCTGCAAAGAAACACTTCGGTCGGGATTTCCTTTGCATCCGATAAATGAGTCGTCTTTGTTATTGTAGTTCGTTCTCCTGATGATGGGCCAGGCCGGAAAATTGGGCGTACAGTAATGTAAAATGAAATTTGAATTTGAATCGCAGTGAAGAGACCGTTTTTGGAGTTTGGAGTTGAGAAGCGAAGTTTCCTAAAAGTTCGTTCTCCATTATTTCGGTTTTCAAATCATGAAATTTCTGCAGTGCCATGAATGTGACAATGTTGAGCTTTCAGAACGGAACGGTGATTGTTCTGATGAAGCGTCATTCGACGACCTGACCGGTCGCAGTGTTGCAGTTGCAAGTCGAACAGGGGAGATGTCACAAAAGCTACACCTACAAAGTCGCTACCAACTTGTTGAAAACTCTGAAGTGCTCGAGAAAAACCCTTGCCTTTGCGTGTTGCGTGATTTGGAAATGATGGCTTGAAACACCGTCAGAAGTATATTTGGTTCCTGCAATACTCTGCTCTTTGCTACCTTGTTATTCGGGAGAAAAACCCATTTGGATTTGCGAGATACAACAAACAACATCATAAAATCACTACGAGCTAGCTCGTAGCTCGTGCCCAAAGAGACTTTGAAACCAGGCAAGTGGACATTGTTTACCGTAGGAAAGCGCTCTTCGCGCCACGGTGTGAGATGCACTTTCGTACAGTGGGAGTGACAGTGCATGGGGTCAGTGCGTACAGGCCAGCAGATCTTGCACAATGCGGTGGGCATTTGCAGCGGACTTTACGGTACACAAACACACACACACACACACACACACATATACACACGAAAACACACACACTATTGGACCAGACATAGTGGTTACAACAATGTGTCCTGCTTTTCTTGTGTATTATTCGCTGTCTGTAGATTTCTTCACAAGGGTTGTCAAGACCAACTTACCACAGATCATCGCCAAACTAGCGACTGTACCAGATATAGTGCTCACTGAAGTATTTGGAGAAGCCGACCTGAATGAAGAGTTTATCAGCACTTATCGAACAGCATGTGAGGTGGCCAGTCATGTGCGTGATCTTCCACTTTGCTGTCAAACAGCAATTGGGGAGTGTTTACTGTACCCAGTGTCCAGCTTTGCGCTTCTCTTTTATGAGTTGCACCTTCCTGAGCTCACTCAACGACTGGATAAAGATTTCCTGATCAAGATCGACCATGAGGCAGGATGTGATGGGAGTAGTCTTGTCCAACTGTTGACTTTGGCTATTGATTCACAGAGCGATAGTAAGTGACAATTTGAAGACTGTGATGCAAGTTAAAGAATGTCCATGATGGTGAATCCTAGTCAATGGATGAGGCTGGTCTTTGTTTTAGTGTGCATACCAGCTGAAGGTTATATGAAAATACAGTTGTCTTATACCAGCAGAAATGTTCTAAATGATATTTGCTGTTTTCCAATTTGTTTAGTATACGTTATGTTCTAGCCTTGGTTTCCATTGTGAGGAAAATGAGGAATTTTATTGAAATTGTCCATACCTAATCATAATGGCACTTTCTCCCGGTGACTTGACTTGACACTTGACTGACTCACAACCGCCATCCAGATCACACAAGAAGTCCATTGAACTTTCGAAGTCGGCGGGAAAGCGCTAGGTTCAGTGTTGAGAGCAACTCATGTTCAGATGAAATGATCGCCGAAGTCGCAAACTCTATTTCATAGCATAGTAAAGTAGCCTAAAACCTGCCTGTCATGTTTGTGGAAATCACCAGCATATTGTTTAGTATTGTCAAAATGCCAATTTTCTGAACTTAATGTACCGGCAATCCAAGCAATACTCGTAGAGAATTCTAATGTGATTCTTCTGATCTCACCTTCATATACAGCAGATACCGCAATGTCAATGATGAATGATGAAGGTGTGATTGCAGTGAAAGAAGGACCAGGAGATGCAGTTGAAGGTCAGTGCTGTCCTTGTATTGGTCCTCCATTAATGCACGACCCTATTTTAGGGGAATGCATACTCAAAGTTTGTCAGCCCGAGCCTTACGCTCGCATTCCAGCGCAAGCTTTACAGTGTCCTGCGAATTAGGACTACCTTTCTCAGCGCGGCCGGCGAAACTGAGTGTCCACAGAGTTACCGAGGAACATCTCAGCCTGACAGTAAATCCTTCTGCGAATTAGAGCGCCGTGGAAATGGGTGCCCAAAAAATAAAAAATAAAAATTTCACGGTTCGCGTGAGACTCGGCAGGAAGCCGAGTTTTCCGCATCCGCCGTGGGAACGCCACCACCCTCTAGGATCAAAGGCGCAGATGCAGCGCCTAAACGGTGGGAGGTGAGTAGATCAGACCCACCACCAAGTGGTCAAAGACCGAAATCCCATTAGCTACATCCATGTTACCCTCGTGCCAGGCCACGAGTTCCCAATTAACTGTGGGTCGCAGCACGGCTGGAAAAATTCCTTCCGCTTCCAAGCAGGACTTGAACCGGGTACCCTCTGTTTCTCAATCATGGTCTTAGACCATCCCACTATGCCTGCTCTGCCCAAAAGGTCAGCGCAGAATACCCCAGAAAGACAGAAAAGCGTGTGGTTAAGTTAGCAAAGCCTGATTTTGCCAGTGATCACTGTTATTAAGTGTTACACTCAATGGCGTCGCACACTTTATGACCGGTAAGACAAAGGTCGTCCGACGTGGTCTGCGCAATTCATCCAAAAATCAGTAATCATTTCGTAACATCATGCGCTCCTACATGCACTTGTGCAAACACTGTGCGCACAACTCCTGGAGTTGACTGGCAGTAGACCAGGGTAAGCATATGCCATTATGCGCTATTTACTGGTACTGTTCTGTCTGTACACACGGTTATTGCCAGTATACTAGTACCAGTACACCGAGTACTATCGGGTAGTTGTATTTAGTGCTGGGTGCTATGTGCTATGTAGTTACATTGACTGTTGCTGGAGTGTCCATGTAAACATGGTAGTCTAGATGTACATGTATGTCTTCAGCTCACACACACACTCACACACTCACAAAGTCACAAAGACAGTATACTATGCAACGAACACCTAGCCTACAGAATACCAGTTAATCAGCTATGGTAGATGTATGAGATGTTGACATGTCATGTCGGCACGGTGACGGCTTTTCCATGGTAGCTGGAGCTGCGCAAGAAATGTCTACTTGGCTAACTTAGTTTTCTGTTGTGGTGAAACAATGTCAGTACGAAAGGTAGGACAGCATTGTAACTGGAGCTGCGGAAGAACTGTCTGCTTGATGTACTTAGTTTTCTGTACTGGTGAAACAATGGCAGTATGAAAGGGAGGAATGCCCCTCATAATCAAATACAGTCAACTTTGCCAATAACGACACTTGGCTGAGCATCAGAAAAGTGTCCTTGTTCGCGAAGTGTCCTTATACCCGAAGTCCCATTTGAATGTATGTGAACCCGTATTTTGTCTAGTATGACATGCATATCAAAATGAAGCTCTTTTCCTGCTCTATGCATTGTGTACTTTATTTTCATATTACGATTGAAAGGAACTATAAAGTCAATATGCAAGGGAAATAGATTGAAAAATTAGCCTTTTGCAGCCATCTACAGGGACATGCACAATCATGTACATGTATGATGATTACTTTACAATCATGTACAACTACATGACATCACCCAAACTATTTTGAAGCAAAAAATATAAAAATAAAGCCCCCCCCCCTTGGCTGCATCTTCTTGCATGTGTGCCTTTATCCATCACCATGGGTTCTGGTATTACTGCATGACAGGTACTTGAAATAGCTGTCAAAAGCCCTGAAAGTCGTTATTCGAGCAGTGAATATGACCTCGGGGCACTAAAAGCATGTCGCTATCCGCGAAATGTCGTTATTCAGATAGTCGTTGTATCCGAAGAAAAATATAATACAGCTAGATGGGACTTTGCTCTGGGCATAGAAATTCTGTCGTTATTCGCGAATTGTTGTTATATCCGCAGTCGTTATTAGCGAAGTTGACTGTAATTGATAATGAGAAATGTTGCAGAGCATGTGATTTCAGCAGACGTGTCACATGATTGGCAGACACTGGTTTGAACAGTGCTAGGATAAGAAGTGCTATGGAAATGTTTTGCACTGACACTCAGTGCATTACCACAGGCACGTGGCGTGCAGATAATGTGATGCAACTTCAAGAGATTCAATACCACCTTCTTCTCAGCTTTAATTTGCTCGAATGCACAGCGGTCCGTAACATTCCACTGAAATGCTTGTGCTCAAATGGTCGTGCTAAACTGTCCATGTTGAAATTCTGGTGCTGAATATAGGATTAATCCGGGTGTTGTAGGCTAGCTAGACCCATTTCATTCTGAACATATCCTTCCCAGTTTCTTCAATAACTTCTTCCTCACATCTACATCAAATGTATTGTGCTTTGTTCTGGTGTATGTGTACATGTATATATTGTGCAGCTGATAATGGCCAGTACGCAGCAGCTCTAAATGAACTGATCAAGGAAGGTGTCCAGTTGATACCGTACGGACGCCTGATAATGTGCGGGCCAGGCCGCACAGGCAAGAGCAGCTTCCTGCGATCCCTCCTGCGTCAAGCGTTCATGTCTCAAGTCGACAGCACAATCGGTGTGGAGCTGGAGAAGGTGATCTGCACTATCGAGAAACAAGGGTTAAAGTATGTCTGGAAGCAAGCTGAAGATTCTTACCAGCAGCAGTTGGCCCTGACGCACAGAGCTGTTGGTCAAGAGAAACGGAAGAAAGAGATCGTAGCAGCACTGAGACAACAAGGCGTCGCTATCCCCGAGAACACCAGGTCCACATCCTCAACGCCATCAACGCCCGTAACATCACCATCCGCTGTGATTGAGACTGAGCAAGCAGGTACAGCCAGTGTGAGTGAAACTACTCTCAGGCAAGCTGATGTAACCACCAATACCGGGTACACTGTTCAATCACCTACCAGTCCTACCACGGTATCTCAGAATGTTTCCACTGCATCCAAGCCGGAAGAGGAATCAGACATGGCTGCGCTGAAGGAAGAGACACCGGAGCAAGATGTCCAGCAACTACAGACAGAAATCAACTCAGCAACATTGAAGTTCGAAAGTTTCATTAATGATCTGCGGACAGGCAAAAGCGAAGTTTTCACTGCAGAACACCTCAAAAATCTCACATTTATGGATGTCTGGGACTTTGCAGGTCAGAAGATGTTTGCTGCTATCCAGCACATGGTGCTGGCCTGCACCAGATGTGCATATGCTGTCGTCTTTGATGCATCAAAGAAGCTCCAGGCCAGAGCGAAGCCGACATTTGGTGTAGATGGTGAGGAACTGCCGCTTTCCAACCACCTGGAGCAGACCAACTTTGATGTGATGGAGACATGGTTCAACGCTATCCACGAGGTCATTGGAGACAGCGACAACGTACCCGTGTTTGCCATTGGCACACATGTGGACAAGTTACCTAAGAATCCAGAAGCAAGGAAGAAGGCAACTGAAGAGATAAAGAAGTACATCTGGGCCAATGCAGAGGGAAAAGCATACGCCAACAACATCGACAAGGTGGTATTTGTGGACAACACACGAGCTGGTAAAGATCCAGAGGACCCAGCAGTTGTTCAGCTACGGCAAGACATAATCCAGCAGCTGCAGCATCAGTTCAACGTTCCCATACCAATCCGCTGGCTTCCTGTGACCATCTCTATTGGGCACATTGCAAAATCGTTTGAACGACCATGGTTATCGGTTGAGGAGCTACGTCGCTTGGCCATTGCTGTTGGTAGCATCTCCAGTGTTGATCCTGAGTCCGATTTCCAGGAGATGGTGAAGTTCCACCATGGTCTTGGCCATTTGCTTCACTTTGTTCACAATGCCCGCCTTCGTGATCGTGTAATCATCGACATCCACTGGGTTCTGAAGACCATGTCATTGCTCTTCTGTCCTGAACCAAAGGATATGCAGAGCAAGCGTCTACGTCCACAGTACGACTTGCTGACTCAGAATGGTATCCTCCTTGAAAGTCTTGCCCTGCACCGCTGGTCACAGCACAATCGTATGACATCGCGCTACACGGCCACAGAAGAACAGCGTGATTTCCTGTTCGAGATGGGTGAGCACTTTGCCCTGTTCTACAACACAAAGACAACTGTGAAGGTGCCTGGTCAGAGGAAAGAGGTGACAACTCGCAAGTTCTTTGTACCAGCTCTCGTGGAGCGAGTGGCACGTGTTCAAGACGAAGTAAGCAAAGGCAAGCCAAGTCCAGCTATGTACCTGTACAGTGGTGCAGATCGTTACTTTCCACAAACCCTGTTCTGGTGTGGCGTTGTGAGGTGTATGCAACGCTACAGTCCAAAGGTGGATCCTATCCTCTATCACACATCGGCACGTATTCTGGTGAAGGATCGCTTCTGGCTGGTCATGCAGTATTTCCAGCATGGCATTCGCTTGTCACTGGAGATTCCTGTTGATGCTCGACCAACTGCTAAGTCTTCGATCACCAGTGCTACTCCTGTTCCTGCTGCTGCCGGTGTGAGAAAGTCAGTTGAGTCCGCTAGCATTGGAGCTGCTGAAAGTGAGAATGAGGCTGAAGCTATCAAGCTTTGTCATGAGCTTCTACCGTACCTGGAGTCAGAGCTTGACAAGCTGAAGGCATTCTCGCTGACTCATGTGGAGTTTGGCAGAGCTGTCCGCTGTCCGTGCTCGTTCAGCCGAGATGCGTGTCGCAAACACAAGCAGAAGTCTTGTGTGGAGATTGGCTGTCAACACTTTGCTCCGTTGGTGGAAGGATTGCGTCCACGCTGTACTATCGGAGCACGTCCGTCAGTGGATATCAGTGATGTACGTCAATACTGGCCTTGCTTTGCCGAAGACACACAGGTCAGTGCAATGGGCGATAACATTGCTTACATTGGTGCTTGTAAATCTCTTTCTTTTTGCCAGCTAAAATTGTAAAAGTGATAAGAAAAAAACAATAATGTTGTGCCCCTGGTGTTTCCTGAGACAACATTTCAGCCGTACTGTCAGACTGACTTTCGATGCCTTAGTGGCAAGCTACAGAACTCCATCTGAGAAGCTTCCTTTTCTTGCTACAAAACTCCACAATGCAAGGACAGTCTGTTAGAGTGTCTGTTGTTGAGAAGCTTCCATTTCCGCCAATCTGGCCGTCTACTTTCTATCTGAGCGGACTGAACACAAAAAGACTGCAATGCGCCGCATGCAGTCAGGCACGCACATATATCCCCACATTCCTTTCTCCATAGTGCTTGATTCCCGAAATGAGTACCAAATTTCCCTGAAATTTAGAGACGGCATATTTTGCACATAGAAAACAATAACAATCGAAGCATTAGTAGTTGATGTTGACGAATGCAATGGGGCCTGTAAGTGCTATACCACAACCAAATCAGGGTCGTGAAAGCGCTGAAGTTACGATCCAATTGTACCTGATTTTGTATGGATTCATGCACGTTTGAGTTGTTTCCTTCTCCGTAGGGTGACAAATCTACCCATACTGACTGGACTGCTCCCAAGCCCCCAGTAGTGGGGACCAACTTCTGGCACTGAATCCGATTCAGCACACCTGCACTTGACACTCCCAACCCCCTAGTGGGACTACTTGATCTTCTGCTTTTTAAGTTCTGGCACAGAGTCCAATTCAGTACACCTGCACTTGACACAATGAGGGTCTACCTGCCAGATATGTATTTTGCTATGGTCGGAGTGGATCCCCCTGAAGTCGTTATCTGGTTATCTGTTGAGTTCTGACTTCATCATTTTCAGTTCTGTACAAGTCTATAGTAAGGGGGATGGGGGGATTTACTGGTGTAATTAATTTTTTGTCTGCATACCACATTGCTGTATTTCGTTGATTCTGTCCAGACCGCAGAGCTTGCTGATCCTGAGAAGCCAATGCCGGCAATGCCAATGACAGTTGTAGAGCCCGCAGTCAAGGACAGTGGTGAGATGATTTCAGTAAAGTGTTCAGTTTAAAATATACCCTGGAAAGTACAGTGCTGCTCAATGAAATCCAATCATGTGAATCAAGTATGTGCTGGGAGCTGTGCAATCCTAGACCTGCAAACCGTGACTGGTTTGTGACCTGGTGCAGTGCGATGACTACTTACTTGACTCACTCGATCAGATTTTATTGAGCATTCACTGTGGAATACGGGAATGCAGGCTGGAAAACGAGACACGAGAAGCTAGTATAGCCTGCCTGTCCCTGGTCACTAGAGTGTAGGGTTCACGCAGGGAAGGACACACTGGAATTGACCATAATGTCAGGTACGAAGGCTGAATATAAGTCTGGGATTATTCCTATAGAAACGTGTGTCAGTGCTGGGCTTCTATTCAAATCAAGTCAGTATTTAAACCTGTTACTTCAAATGTATGTCCTCAGTAAAACCATGCTTGCATGCCGATACCTCACCTTGAAAATTAGGCTTGTTTTCAAAACAGTCTTCTATTCAAGACAGTATGGCATGTGTACAGGGTCATTGGAGTGCAGGGTGATTGATGGGGAAAGGATACATGGGAATTTATTTGCACGGGGTCACTAGAATGAGGGATGCATGCAGGGGACGAGTGTTCAGGGAGTCAAGTACGGAATTTGAAATTCAGCGATTTGAACTGTGTCATCGTGATGCAGATGAAATGCTGAAGCAGGAAAGATTACCATGTGAAAAAGCTCGGGTGCTGAGCCAATAGTACAATGTAAAATTATAAAATATTAGTATTAATACTCGATAGTCGAGGGAATGGGATAAGAGAAAAGTCTGAAGAAACAAATTACTGTCACCACCATGACTCGAACCAGGGACCTTCACTTGAGGCCAGCGATGCTCTAACCACTGAGTTATGATGTAGGTGTCGTCCCAGCAGAGACCGTTCAACACTTTCTCCAGACTTCAAAATTCACTTCTCCTGTGAAACTACACAGGCTGGTGGTAGCAGCCCTCACTGTACCCACACACTTAGTATTAATATCAGTACTTGAAGTACTTCAAGTACTTCAAGTACTTCAAGTACTTCAAGTACTTCAAGTACTTCAAGTACCTCTTGCGTACGTTAAGTACCTCTTGCGTACGTTAAGTAGTATTGCTGTAAGTCTACAAACTTTAGGCCCATTCAAATTTCAGCCTCCCATTGCTGAAACCCATTTCGGCCCATTCAAATTTCGGCCTCCCATTGCTGAAACCCATTTCGGCCGCATCAAATTTTCGGCCTGTACTGCTGCCGCCTGTATACACTGTCACACTGAGCCTTGCAAAACAAAATTGCGGCCAAACATGGCCAGGTCGAAAATAGCCAAAAATAAATAATCGCCGGAAACTTGTTGACTTACAGTATTCAATTTATGGTATATACTACCAGAGGTGAAAGAAATTGATTAAATTTTTTTGAAGGATTGGGAGAACTTCAAATTTCAAAGGATCACTATGGTCGGGGAAGTGAACTGCCTGAAAAGAGAAAAAGGGCCAGATTTCTTGTCATGGCTCGGCAATACTCTAACAATCTGAGCTATGGGTCAAGGCCGAACCTAGAAGACGCTGACAAGTTTTCACTGCAAAGACAACAGTCAGTTTCTGGAACGTACTGCCAGAGGTGAAATATAGTGATTAAATTCGGAAAACTTAAACATTCAAAGGATCAGTCGGGGATCAGTCAGGGAAGTGAACTGCCTGAAAATAGAAAGTGCCAGACCCACCAGGATTCGAACCTAGCCTGTCATGAGCAATGCTCTAATCAACCGAGCTATTTCAGGAAGGCTCCGGGTTCGAGTCCTGGTTGGTCTGGCATTTTTTTCTCTTTTCAGGCAGTTCGCTTCCCCGCCTGATCCCGACGGAAATTTGAAGTTCTCCCAATCCTTTCATTCACCTCGAGCTGTACGTTCCAGAAACTGACCGTGGTTGGTCCCGAGGGGGGAGGGCAAAAGACCGAATTGCCATCAGTATTGTGAGTTGCCTTTGGAGTGAAAACACTTGTCAGGGCCTTCTACATTCACCCTGGTCCCATAGCTCAGATGATTAGAGCATTGCTCATGACAAGCAAGGTCCCGGATTCGAGTCTTGTGGGTCTGGCAATTTTTTCTCTTTTCGGGCAGTTCACTTGCCCGACCGATCCTTTGAATTTTGAAGTTCTCCCAATCCTATCAAATTTCATCCCTTTACTTCACCTCTGGTAGTACGTTCCAGAAACTGACCGTGGTTCGTCCCGAGGGGGGGAGGGCAAAAGACTCAAGTGCCAACAGTATTTTGGCCCGTGTTGTGAGCTGCCTTTGGAGTGAAAAAACTTGTCAGGGCCTTCTACGTTCACCATGGTCCCATAGCTCAGATGATTAGAGCTGTGCTCATGACAAGCAAGGTCATGGGTTTGAGTCCTTGTGGGTCTGGCATATTTCTCTTTTCGGGAAGTTCACTTCCCCGACTGATCCTTTAGATAAAATGTGCCGAATGTTTTTGTTCCCTTCTCCGTATGGAAATGTGAGGAATTATGAATAATTTAAATCGAATAACTATAATGGCAATGTGCTGCAGGGACCAGAGGGAGACTGTGAACAAATGTGTTCATCAGATTTGATTAAATCGAACCCTTATAGAATAACCAAGAATGGGAAAGGAAAGTATGGTGTTAGTCCTGGTGAGTGTGAGTAATGCCGCATGACGTGTCCACTCTCCTTTGCTCTCATTTCTTCTTCTTCCTTTCTTTTTATATCATTCATTTTTGTTCACCCTCCCTGAGTTAAAATCCTGTTAGAAACCTACGTTCCTGTATCATCCTGGCTTTTTGGAGCTGATTTAAAAAGTACGATTTGTTGTTCACTGTACCTCATTTTGATCTGTTTGGCCAGTCATTCTGAGCTCCGCTAACGAGATCTTACAAGGTCTAAACAGCTAACTCTCCGGAGATCAAGCCATATTGATTAGACTGAGGCGATTTACACGACGGCAGTGCATGCCACTGGGAAGTGAAGCACATGATCCCGAGAGTTTGCCGTGACCCAGGAAAAACGAAAATCGAATCACATTACAGTAGCTGTAGTACTAAGCAGTCCACAGAATACCACAATATGCATTCCCACCCCAGCCACCTCACGGTACCTGGACCATACCAGGATAGCTCGCGGAATACGCTTGTGCCAAAATTTGAGTGCACGGGACTGAATCAGCATGGCAGCATCACGCACGGGATGAATCCTGCCGTCGTGTAAATGGCCTCTTATTATATGGATTGGGAGCATCTGCGCCTTGATCCAAGAGGGTGGTGGCGTTCCTGCAGATGCGGAAAACTCGGCCTTTGGCCGAGTTTCACGTGAACCGTGAATTGTTTTTAATTATATGGATTATTTGCATGCTGTGTGTGTGTGTGTGTTGTGGTGCAGGTGACCTGCTCCAAGGTCAGTCTGTATCTGAGAGAGCATCAGCTTATCAACTGGCACTACAGAGACATCGAGTAGCAATCAAAAGCGTCTCCCATATTGATGTGATTGATTGCTTTGAAAACTTGCGTGCTGAAGATCACATCAGCATTGAGTGCTTGAAGGACAGTCGAGCCACTGTCAAGTCAAGTGGAAGCAAGGAAGCCATCAGTCACCTGTGCACCGTCTTGGAGGATCTCTCCGACACTGCCATGTGCTACGTCGTGGAGGATATCCTGCCGTCGCAAGGTCTGTCACAGCTCGTGGAGACATTCCGTGTGTGTCCTGGTCCTGGAAAGTGTTCACTACATCGCAATGACCTGCATCCTGTATCAGTGTGTTCCAGTGACAAGACACTGTCCATGCAGACTAGTGTTGATGGCTCCCAGACTGGTAATGTCAAGAGTAGTAAACTTGAGACTGGGGTAAGAACTCTACTCTCTACAGTCTACTTTAAAAT